CAGTCCACCCTGCGGCGCCGGAGTAAGCCGGAGCGGAAGGAGCGGATCAGCGAGCAGACCTACCAGCTCTCCCGATGGACCCCCGTGATTAAGGACATCATGGAGGTGAGCCGGCAGGGACAGGGACGGGGGACAGAGCAAGGACCTGCAGAGAGATAGCTGCTTCCAGCCCAAACTCCAGCACCTCTCCCTGACATGTCCTCCAGGCTGCCTGTGATGGCAGCGAGGTTGGAGGTTTTCCTGGTCCCCACGTGCACGCTGGCCCCAGGTGGGATGCACAACCCCAGCCTGGCATCCCCCCGATACAAAGCACAATAACAAAGTGGGTGCTCCTTGAGCCGCACTGTGTGCCACAATGGGCACGGCTGGGGGTCCTTGCCACAGCCTTCCCTCCCCTCCAGCTGAGCCAGGGGATGGGCAATGGTACAGCTGACCCCTGCCCACAGGCACAGCCCTGCCTGTACCTGCGGGAGCACCCCCCCCCCCCAAGGCCGGTGTTAAGGCAGCACACTGAAAAGTGATGTTCTCCAGGCACTGCCTTCCTCTTCACCCCTCCTCCCCAGCCACCCCTCGGTTGGAGCAGCCTCTGGGGTGTACCTGGATCCCAGGCACAGAGGCTGCACCCCGACACAGGCAGACAGACCCTGGAGCCATGTTTTGGGGTGGGGACACGGCACAGAGGACAAGCAGAACCCCAGCTCCCTCGATTTCCAAAAACACACATAAAACCAACTCTTGCCTTTCTCCACCACAGTCCACGCAAACCTTCCCAGGGGGGCTTCATGCCCAGGACACCCATAAACCTCATCACCAGGACCAGAGGAGACTGCACAGGGCAACAGCATCTCCCCAGCATCTCACAGATAGTGTAACCCCCCCACTGCCAAGGAAAGCAAGAGCAGGTCCCTTACCTGGGCAGAGTGCAGGTGTGAAGCCTCCAGCTCAGCTCATGTGCTTATGCTTCCCAAAAAAAAAGCTACTTCTTCCCCCCCTCCTTCCTCTACCTCCAGAACAAGCTCAGGGCGAGCCTCACCCCATACCCTGTGCTCCAGCCCCCCTGCCCCTCAGCAGCCAAGCACCCCTCTCCTCCCCCCCAGTGCACCCTAGGATGGGAACACAGCCAAATTGGTCTGAAAAAGGCTATGCAAATATATGCAAATGACCCTGACCCAGTTGGGCCAATCCCCCTGGGCACAGCCCTTCAGAGGGGCTCTGGGGCTGGGGGGCTGTGCCTAGCTCCTTGCTGACCCCCACCCCCGGGGCTCTGTGCCTGCAGGATGCCATCGATGACAAGCTGGACACCAAGCACTACCCGTACATCTCCACCCGCTCCTCTGCCTCCTTCAGCACCACCGCCGTCAGGTGGGTACTGCACCTTCCACTATGCATTGCACCTACAGCACCGTTAGCATCCACCCCTCACCTTCCCGAGGGGCTGGATCCACCCGCAGGTCTCTGAGCTGCCCTGCAGTCATTCTGGCATCCCGTGCCTCAGTTTCCCCACCTGTAACAGCAGCGATCCTGGAGATGGGGGGTGAGGCAGTGGCCCAGGGTGCCCAGAGCAGCTGTGGATGCCCCATCCCTGGAGGGGTTCAAGGCCAGGCTGGATGAGGCTTTGGGCAACCTGGGCTGGTGGGAGGTGTCCCTGCCCATGGCAGGGGGTGGCACTGGATGATCTCTAAGGTCCCTTCCCACCCAAACCGTTCTGGGATTCTATAAGATTCTGAGTGTCTGAGAGACTAAGGTGACCCCGAGAGACGGGTGACCCAGAGAGAGAGTGAGCCCTTCTGGACAGACCCCCATCTCTCCCCTGGCCATGCCGGGCATGGGATGGAACAGACCATGGGCCAGTTTGAGTCTCAATCCTAAACCCAAGGTTGTATCCTGGGCTGGTCTCTGGGGCTGTGCTCCCTCCCAGCTCCTCCTGCCCCTGCAGACACGGGCACAGCAGAGAAGCTGGAAAGTCCTTGAGTGTCCTGGCAGCAGCTCTGCCCATCAGTGTGAGATCAGCTTCTCCTCAGCACAAACCCCAACAGCCTCACACCAGCTGTGGGAAGAACGTTAACTCTGTCCCAGCCCAAACCAGGACAAGGGCTTTCCCTGCTCCAGCAGCAATTTGGAAGTGAATTAATCAGTGATTTAATTAGATGAGAACATTAACTCTGTCCCAGCCTGAACCAGGACAAGGGCTTTCCCTGCTCCAGCAGCAATTTGGAAGTGAATTAATCAGTGATTTAATTAGATGTGAACTCAACGCACAGTGTGTTGCCTCCTGCGCATCCTTCATCCCTCTCCTCTCCCTCTCCCCAGTGCCCGCTATGGCCACTGGACGCGCCGGCGAATTACGTAATGGCCCGCCGCCTCATCATCTTCATCCTGGGCGGTGTCAGCATGAACGAGATGCGCTGCGCCTACGAGGTGACGCAAGCCAGCGGCAAGTGGGAAGTGCTAATAGGTGAGTGGGAGCCAGGGCCAGACCCCGCGCCCCGTCGCGCTGGCTGCTCATCCCACGCTCCTTCCACCATCCCGCAAATTCCCGGCTCCAGATGACTGCAGGAGCTGGAACTCTGCGGAAAAATCTTCTTCTGCCACCCAGTGTCACCCATGTGTCCCACATCCCCAGGGACAGGATGCATCCCTCCACTCGCTCCTGGTTTTTCTCACATTTTTCCTCTCCCGGGCTGGTTTTGTTCAAGCAGAGTG